CTCCTTCCCTCCATCTACATGTCTCACACACACACACACACACACACACACACACACACATATTGTTCCATGTATTTATAGATCAGTTTTTTAAAAAAATAGATTGGGCTAAGAGATAGTGTCTGAGAGCCTTAAGTCATTTGACTAATATTAAAGCTAAGTAAACAAAACTGAAATTCTAATAATCTGGAACCCAACAGATTAACCAACCATATTTGAAAATATATCAATGCCTGCCCATGAATGACAAAAAAAAAAAGTATCTCTTTGTTTCTCACATCTGCCTAATGCCATAATCCTTGCTCTAATCATCAATTGTCTCTACGGCATGTGAAATCTACTAATACGTGCATGCCAGATGAAGCATGTCCATTTAGAATTCAACAAAATTGGCATGATAAATACAATTGGTTTTAAAAAATAGGTCTCTCTTGTAGAATCAAGAAAACAACACTAGACTCCACCTCCTTCCCGTGAACAGGGTGAAATAATAGATTTATTTGTCTGAAAATGCCTCAGGAACTTTCTGGGGCTAAAGCGTTCAAGCACACTTTATGTGTCCCCAGAGATGTGGCCAACAGCCAGTTTGATGTAGGGCTTAAAGGCACTGGGCTAAAAACCAAGAGACTGTGAGTTCCAGTCCTGCCTTAGATATGGAAGCCAGCTGGATGACTTGGGGCCAGTCCCTCTCACTCAACCCCAGGAAGAAGGCAAGGGCAAACCACTTCTGAAAAATATTCCAAGAACTGCAAGGACTAGGCTGGGCACTTGCTACAAGCCAAGACACTGGAATACTCTTTTTTGACTGAAGAGCTGGGTACCGATCTTTCAAACAAGGCGCTATCACCCATGATAGAAACAACCCTGCCCCTTCGCTCACTGTCTGTACCAGGCTTTCATCTGTCAGCTGCTTGATTTCCTGCTGGATGCCAAACTCCACTTGGGCTTCTGGTGACAAATGGAGTGTCAGGAGGAAGACTTCATGCTGTTTTTCCATCCCTTCCTCCAATACCTCCATCTGCTCCTTTAAAGCTTCTACTTCTTCTTCATATTCCCTCCTCTGTTCCTGGAGCTGGGCCTCAAGGAGCCTGAAGGGAGGAAAAGTGGGGAGGATGGGGAAAGTAAAATGTCTTTGTCACCCAAATGATGTGATACACAGAAGCGGCCATGGCACCTTTAGTGGTGATAGACCAGGGCTTGGATTCACAGACCAAACGCCTTTAGGAAGCTGTAGGCAGATCCTAGGTAACAAAAGCCTTCTTCCAAGGTACTTTTGTGACATGTGAACAGGAAAAGTGTAGGCTCGTTGATTTCTATTGTATATATATCTATTCTATATACATATAGGGAAAAAAGTCTCCTATGGTATAGTTAGCTGGGGAATTCTGGGTGTTGAAGTCCACACAGCTTGAAGTTGCCAAGGTTGAGAAACACTGCCTTACACACACACCCTTCTGGGTGACCTTGGGCCAGTCCTTTTCTCTTACCCCTAGGAAGAAGAAGGCCAGGGCAAACCACTTCCAAAAATCTTGCCAAGAAAACTGCAGGGACTTGTCCAGCCAGTCTCCAGGAGTCAAGGTAGACGTGAAGGCAAACAAATACACAAAACAGGTAACTACTGTGTTAATCCACAGCAGGCCTCTGGTAGGAGCACCCTACACCCATGTTGCCCTCTCTTAGTGCTATGTTATCAGTGCTAAGCAAATCTTCCTCCCCAAACAGAGCAATATCACTAGGCATTTTTCTCTGATTGAGTAATAAAACCTGTCCTGCATTCAGAATTAAGGCATTCGTATATTCTGCGATTACTGCAAAATAAAATCACAATGATAGTAATCAGGCCTCAGCCACCAATCGAAATGCAAGACAGGAGAAAAACATGTATATTTATGCATCGCTAGCTGCATGATATCTCTCAGCTCCAGTGATTATTTGTTTTGTTATCTATATTACAGAACTGCCCAGAAGCCACATAGAGTTGATACAGCGCAAGGCGTAATTGTTCCAGCATAGCATCAGTTATTAATCTTGACACCTGCATTTGGGGTAAATAACAATTAGGACCTGATGAGATTTTTAATTACGATTTCAAACTCTATTTACACCAGTCGTTGGTTGGTATATGTGTTTTTTCCTTTAGCTTTTAATTGGATGTTTTTAATTGTTGAACAGAGATGCTGTGCTTCTACTGTTGTGCTTTGGGCTCTTTTAAGAGCAAGGATGGTCTATGCCAACAAAATAAAAACGAGACAGTAATGAAATTAATCAACTAAATATCATAGTGCTGCTACTTAAAGTAAATGTACTGGATGAACAATATTTAAAAACTACCCAAGCTTTAAGCAACGGATGCATGAGCCCTAATTAAGGCATAATTTCGCTTCCTGTTTTAAGGGTATCCCGCAAAACAGATGTCCCAGAACCTTTGAAAAATAAAAGCAGTTTTTCGTGAGTTGCTTTTTGAAGCCCCGCCTGTAGAGAATCGTTTACGGGCCCAAAAACAAGAGTGGTCAAGAAAGAGCACCTGCTTTTGCTGTTTTTAGCACAAAAACAAGAGAAAGAAGGGAAAGAGATTTTTTCCTTCCATTCCAATGAAACTGGTCGTAAAGCAGAGCAAACCCCTTCACGTAACATACAACGAATGCTTGGCATTTCCTACTCTAAGATGCCATGAGGGGCCAAATTAGATGTCACTGTGTCTTAAACCCAGATTGAGGGACACAACCTGTACCCCTCAGAGCTTTCGTTGGGAGAGGTCGAAGAGATCCTGCCGAACAGTAATTTTTAATATCATAGAAGGGGGCAAGGATTACATATGTGGAATTGAGTCAATTCATTTAGCTTTAACTGCAGTCAAATTTAGTCCTGGATCTACTACCAGTGCCCCAGAGATGTGACAACCACCAGGTCTAAGTCAACTATAATCAGACAGAAAGGAGAATGGAAGGAAAAAAAAGGCCTTGGAGAAGAATCCAGTAAAATAGACCAATGCCTCTAAAGCAGTGTTTCTCAACCTTGACGACTTTAAGATGGGTGGACTTCAACTCCCAGAATTCCCCAGCCAGCAACGCTTAAGTACTACAATCAACCTTAATTGGTTTTAAGACCTGATTACTAGAGTCATTCAAGATGGCCAGATCTAACAACTGCAGTAGAACCACCTGATAGCTAAGTACAACCTTCTTCAAACTTCCAAGTATTTATTACACTTTCCACAATCCCAAGCTGTTGTGACCAGCTATCAGAGCTGTAGTCCAAGTCTTTCACCAGATTGAGGAAGGTTAACTAAGATCATAGTAATGGATTTCTGTATTGGGCAGGAGTTGGACTACATGATCTCCAAAGTCCCTTCCAATCTTTACATTCTGTGATTCTAAGTGGACCACCTCTGTGCCGAGGCAGCATCTAAGGGTGCATACTAGTTGCTAGGGTGCCAAAAATGGTACAGTTGGGACGCTGGTATCTTCATGTTCTACTTTAGGGCCACACTAGGCTGGAAAGAAAATGCCAGACTTGATTAACCCTTGGACTGAAGCAGGGGCTGTAATAATCACTGTATCTTAGGCCTAAGATCATTTTCAGAAGCAGTGCTCTGGGTACCCTCTGATGCTGAGAAACAGCAGATGCAGGTTCTTCTGAGTGGTGGCCCTGCAACCCTGCAATGCCTTAATTCCGATAAGGCACTCCTGCACCAACTTGATTATCTTCCTAAAGTTGTAAAATAATGTTTTTATTCTCCCAGGTCTATTTATTTATTAATGAAATGTATAGGTTGCTCAATTCCATCTCAACTCTGGGCTTCATTGAAGCTTTCTGTATTTTCAATCAGTTAAACAGGGAGAAAGTTCGTGATGGCCAAAGGGGAACCAACTGTGACCGAGGCTAAACCTGCACTAATCTGGGTTTTTTTTCTAAACTTTTTGGGATTCCTGGATGGCAGTGCAAACCCAGAATATTCCCAGTCAAACCAGTATGTGAATATATATCCTTAATACATCAGAATTTTAGCATTAAGGTGAGATGTCCGCACTAGATTAGGTAAATTAACCCAGAATTCCCACTTGTGGTACCAATGACCAGGCTCAAACTATCCTACTTGGGACACATTATGAGAAGACCCAGCTCTCTGGAGAAGGCTCTAGTGCTGGGAAAGGTGGAAAGAAAGAGAAGAAGAGGATGACCAGCAGCAAGGGGGGTGGGGTCAGTTACAGCAAAGATGGGTGCACCATTAGAAGACCTGCAGGACCAGGTTAGGGGCAGATGATCATGGAGAAAATCTATCTATGTGGTTGCTAAGAGTCAAACATGACTTGTTGGCACATCATCCAGCAGCTACATTTCCACAAGATGCTAAACTAGGTTAATATGAGTATTTTGGGGTGCTTCATCATGCTGTTGGGGTAACTTATGGTTGGCTGTCTTGGGCAATCCCAGAAAATGGGCTAAGGCAGGAACCCAGTACAGGAAATGGCACCAACCCAGACAAGCTCTCTTACTCAGCAATAGAGCCTTTCAACCAGAGCCGGCGCTGCAGACTCTCCTTCTGGCCACCAGGGGCAGCCCAGAGAGTCAGGAAACCAGTGGGGCTGCCCCCTGGTG